AATGGTATGTCTAAGAATGGCAGTTAAGAGGAGAAATGAAAGAATATCTGCTGTTTCTAGCTGCCTTTAAAGGAAAACACTTTTGAAGTATAAGTCACCTTCTCTACATCAATCATTTGAATGGAACTTACCCAGTGGGAATACACTAGGTTGTAGAGAGTGACTAGTTGAAAAAAAAAAAGTTTCCTAAGGGGATTGTTGGCTGCAAAGAAAACTGGTAAAGTCTCCTTTGGAAGTAAGCAAAGTGGAAGAGGATTGAGTGGTACCCAGGTAAAATGCAATCTAGGACCTGAATCCCAAGGGGAAAAAAAATGCATTATGTGTAATGCAATCCTAAACTTATTGCCATTTACCCATCTCTTAGTCCAGCAAATGACTGGTGAACCATTTTCTGTTTCCTAATTCCTTAACTGTGTGGTGATATATTGTTCATGACTTATTAAAGCCACTGGAGATCAAAATAGCAAAGCAGCCATATTAGTTAGCCATAGAAGCCAGGCAGTGGTGACACATACCTGTAATCCCAGGACTCAGCATTAAGAGGTAGATGGGTCTCTGTTAGTTCAGGGACACAGTGACTACACGCAGTTAATCCAGTCCTAACAGAAATAGCTCACACAAAGGTGATCTCAGCACCTGGGATTACAAACTTTTAATCCCAGTGCTAGGATGGTGAAGGCAGAAGTGATATGGCTGGGTGGAGAAAGGAATAAAAGGAGGAGGAAACAGGAGCTGAGAGCTTTTACTTCTGAGGATTTGTGGAGACAGGATTGCCATTTCAGCTGGGTAGAAATCTACTGGTTTGGCTGCTTTGCTTCTTTGATCTTCAGCTTGGTTTTAATAAACCATAAACAATATATCACCACATGACTGTACTCACAAAACAGTAACCACTCAATCTTTCCATTTGCTACAGATTACCACCAGTTTCTGGTGACCACTCACTAATCATTAATCACTTTTGAGGACTTGTTGCCCAGAACCCTAAGTGTAGACTGCTAGGCAATGTCATTGAGGAAGAGTTAGCACTCCCCCAAGCCCCAAATTGAGAGGCAATGCTTTGAACACCCCACACATGTACATGGCTCCACTTTCTCTGGGGCCACACACAAGCACTAGATTCCACCTCCCCTGGGGCCACACACATGCACATGGTTAATAGTAATGCATTTACTTTGAATGCACAAGGTAAGTCTACATTTATCTATGTACGGGAATTTTGATCAGTCATTACTTTTTATAAAGGGCTTTAGCAAGTTAGTGTAGAAGACATATGACCCACATCGTAATGAATCAGAATGAATCAGTCATTTACTCACACTGAAATGTCCACCTTTTAGTTTTGATATACTAAAACTATCAAACACTCAATTTCAAAATATTTCCTAAATGAAATATGCTAAGAAAAGCATCCAATGAGTCAATGCCTTTTGTTCTTTTTTTTTTTTTTTTTTCTTTAGGAGGTTTGGGCAATCTTTATTTCCCCTCCCCTCATGCGTAACTTTTTAAATATTGGAGTTTTAACAATAAATGATGGCATGTGACTTTGGCAACCTCACATGGGTAACCGGTGCCACCGCAGCAAAGGCCTGAGCCTTTCTTTGTGGAAGAACACATTGGGACTTTCCCTGTTTTACTGTAGTTCACTCAGCTAAACATTCAACAGAAGTCAACTGAAGGCTCCTAAACAATTTCTGATATGAGCTGAAATTTTCTTCTGATTCATGGTGACTGGTTATAATCCTAAGACAATTCCAGAAAATTAATTAGTTATAAAGAGTAAGAACTCTAGAAATGAAAATGCAGAGGCTGGAAATTGAATTATCATCTTTTTATACCCATGAGAAAAGTTTAATAGAATTAAAGAGCTTGGGTCATTATTATACACTGTCCTTATCAATACATATGCTGAGCCATATTAAAACAGCACACATGACACAACATGTCTATCTAATGATTTAGTCACGCTTGCTAACTTGTCCAAACACTCCCAATGTGGTTTGAAGATGAAAAGTTCCCTGCTTGGTTGTGTGTTGAAGACTTGACTCCTGATGCACCAGTGCCTAGAGGCAGGACTTTGGGGAAGGGGTTAGGTCAACGGGCCTTTAACTTCATTTATTGGATGAATTCAAAATGGAAGGTGCTATTGGCTACTGGATACAATGGAAGGCAGAGTGTAGTTGGAGGAAGTAGATCACTAGACAAGGGTGAGCCTTGTCTACCTTGTCTCCAGGCCTTTCCGGTTGGTCTCTTTGGGCTTCAGGGCTGCCGTGAGATGGTCCCTCTCCTATGCCACACACTCCCACTTCTATGGTGTTTGCCTCCTTTCTGGCCAAAGCAGTGGAGCTAGATGACCGTAGACCTTTGAACCATGCTCTTCCCCATTGTTCCTTTCAGGCACTTGTCACAGTGACAAAATGTGTAACACGCTTATTTATGGTCATGCATGATACTTGCATGGCTTAAAGATAGCTTATGATTTTGAATTACTTGGGGACTCAATCATAATCGCTGGTCATGAAAATCTGTTGGAGCACCACCAGCATTGGTATTAACAGTAGCATCCTGAGAAAGATGCCAACTCCATCTATGGGATGCAGGTCTTCTAAGATGCCATCTTTCACTGTGGCTTCCAGAGAGGCAGAAAGTCACAGGCAGAATTTATACACACAAGGAGCCGCTTCTAAGAAAGTGCACACTGTCCTTTAAAGAAAACCTCCTTTGTGTAGACTTTCCCAGGCTGGTGATAACATCTGGTGACAATGGTCTTATATGTTCTGGACAAGTTTAATGATGTCTTAACTTCAGATTTCTCACCTTCTCCAATGGGCAGACCTTTTCTGTTTTCTAATGCAAGCCTAAGAGGCAAGCCTGTTCCACACCCACAAGACTTTGAGCAGAAGACGCTGCAGCACCCAGGTTTTGATCTCATTTTATTTTATATTTAAGCAATATAGCTCAACTCCTAGAGAGAAGTTTTAAATAATAGACAGGAACAATTAGTTTGTTGATCCCATTTAGTCCTTCTGGGAAGAAAGCAATTACATGTGATGGTGCCAAAGACCTCAGTGTCTCCCCAACTCTTAACAGCACTGGAGAATTAATCTCTCTCTCTCTCTCTCTCTCTCTCTCTCTCTCTCTCTCTCTCTCTCTCTCTCTCTCTCTCCCTCCTTCCCTCCCTCCCCATGGTACATTGTCATAACAGCTCCAGGAAAGAATATTTTGGAAATTATGTAGCATTAACCAGAGAAGACTAGCCAATCCTTGGGTGCCTGCTGGTAAAGTGCCAGTCCAGAAGGTCTGAGCCAGGATGGTAGGTGTCAACATCCAAGCAGGATCTTGTTTTATTGTATCAAGCAGGAACTTATATAGGGTAGGGGGCGTAATCTTAGGATGGCATGACATGATGTGAAGAGAAAGGGGCAATAATATTCCACCAAGCTAGAGGTTAGCTAGGCAGGGAGCAGTCTTACTTCAGGCCTTGCTGAGTCTCTCCCATGTTACAGGCCAAAGACAGGTCGCCAAACTTTAGCTAGGCTCAGGAAGTTCCACTAGGCCTCTCTTCCAGGCCTTTTTAGGCCCAACAAGTACCAAAACAGGTAGAGCTAATGAAGTCAGTTGCTGGGTATTTTTGTTGTTGTTGTTGTTGTTATTTTGTTTTTTGTTGTTGTTTTGTTTTGATTTTTGAAGTCAAGATTTCTCTGTGTAACAGCTCTGGCTGTAGACCAGGCTATCCTCAAACTCACAGAGCTCTGTCTGCTTCTGCCTCCCAAGTGCTGGGATTAAAGACTCACACCACCACTGCCTTGATAAATTAGTTTTGTATCAACTACTTATTATTATCTAACAAATAACTCTAAATGTTGGCATGTAGAAATAACAGCTTTTTATTCTACTTTTGCATGTGTGGTCAGACAGGGAAGAGGATTGGGGGGAGGTTGAAGAAAAGACTCATGTAGCCGTGTTAGCCTTGTATTCCCTCAGTTACTGAGGCTGAGGGTCACCGTGACCTTCTGACTAACCATCTCACGTGTCTCACGTGATGGGATTGCAGTCCACCACAACCATGCCCTTCTGGTATATGGAATACCATTTATGGAATTCCATTCATGGAATACACTGACAGGTTTGTTCTTTACACAGAACTATGCTAATTGTCAATATTCTGTGAATCTCTCTCCAGGAGGGTGCATTCCCCTGCAGTGGACACTGGCTTTAGGCTTTCCCTTCTCCCAGAGTGGTGTTCCTGGGGGGATTCAAGTTTCTTGGGGTTTCAGTGGGCTGACTCTCTGCGAGGTCAGTTATGTTTAGAACACCACCTTATCTATCTCTCTCCCTTTTCTCTCTCTCTCTCTCTCTCCCTCCTTCCCCACTCCCCCCCCCAACTATCTCAGTTTTTCAAGGTTTACTTACTTTAAGCATATGGGTAGGTATTTTACTTGTGTGCATGTTGGTGCACCATATACCTACAGAAGCCAGAAGAGGGCGCTGAATTCCCTGAAACTGGAGTTGCAGACAGTGTAGGCTGCTGCCAAGTGGCAGTTAGAAACTGAACGATGAGGAGTCTCTGGAAGAGCACTAAGAGTTCTTAACCATCTCTCCAGCCTCCAAACCTCTTAAAGAGATACTATATGAATAGTGAACTTTTATCACCCTTTGGTTTTTGTTTTTGAAAGGTGCTGTGTTCATGAGCTTAGACATGGACCTTATTTAAGCATGGTAATTTCCAATTTGTTGTTGCTTATTTTTTTCAGAGAAGAAAAGAAGAAAGGAACGGAAAGAAACTGGCTTTTATTTAAGTGGGGCTTGCCGGTTTTATTTCCCAGAGGTGGTTTGTGAAGGGCCTGTCCTTCCTAAGTGGCTGGCTGCCCTGGTCAATGCAGAGCCAGAAAGCCTGGAGGCGGGTGAGCGCCCCCTGGAGGCCCCCGCGCGGCCGAGCAACGGACCGCTGGAGGGCGGGGCCATGCTGGCCACGCCCCCGCCATCCAGGCCTCCGCTTTCCCGCGTGAGGGAGGCTGCGCCATTTCCGCTGCCCTGGCCGCGATGCCGCCTGTGCTCTGGTGGCTGGTTTTCTGGCTGCCGCCCCTGGCTACGCTGCTCGCGGTCGCGGTGCGCGAGGAGGAGGCGGCGGCGGTCTCAGGTAACCCCGGGTCCGGGCGGGGGGGGGGCTCCCTTCTGGGCGTCAGGGTCACTCGTGGGCGCGGCCAAGCCCCGCCCCTGCCTGCGAGCGTCCGGATGCTTCTCATTTGGATTTGTTCAGGATCAAACCGCTGGCCACCGACACCGCTGGCCCCTTGTCACCAGTTTATATCTGAAACCTTATTTTATCCGTCTCCACACATCTCATGAAACTCAAAACTAGAGGAAGGTGTAAAAGCTTCAGAATGAAACCGAAATTCTATCTCAGATTGGCTGCTGTGACCTGGGTGGCTGGGCATATGCAAAACACTGCTGATGCTCCAGCCTTGAACCCCCGCGTCTAGGACGCAGCAGGGTTGGGGTGCTTAAGATGCTGAGTTAGTAAATTGTAGCTGCAAAACTCAGCAGTTCTCCGCGAGCTTAATTTAACATTTATTTTTGCCATCCCAAGGCATCCTTCAAAAGATTGCTTGTTTGCATTGGTCACCCATGGACTCCAGGGAGGCTGTCAAGTGTGGACTTTTGATTGGATAATCTCTCCACACCAGCAGAGTTGGTAGGGTGTCAGAAGCAGTTACTAGCTTCTGACATACCCTGTGACCCAGTTGCCCTGTGCTTTTTAATGTAGATCAGGCTGGCCTTGAATGTCCTGCTGCCACCTCCCAAGTGAAGGGCTGTCACACCTGGCTTACAGATTTGGTATCACCTAGTGGTAACGGTCCCCAGTGATGTTAAACTCAGAGGTGATGAAACTCAAGTCCACAGCTGAGAAAACATCTGGTCATTCCAGATATTCTTTGAATGCATGTAGGAGGTGACCACTGCCCCTAAGTGTTCAATGACACTGAGAACCCTTTGATTGGCTTTGATTGGCTAGGCCTAAGAACTGCTGCTACTGTAAAAGCTGTAGGAACCCTGGCATGAGACAGCTAGGCAATAAATGCCCTCGCCCACAGGAAATGGAAATGTGGTTTTGTAAAACACACCCCAAATGGCTGCCTGAAACCTCAGAGAGTACTGAACCTTACATATACTTTTTCTCCTATATATATGCACACTTATCATCAAGTGTCAGATAGGGCAAGAAGAGATAATTATTTAAAATGCAGTTATATTGAGTGTTGTGGGAAATGTTACTTGAACTTATATTTAATATTATCAGACCTTGGTTGTTCAAGTGAAACTGAGTGTAATGGAAGACTGTTGGTCCTTCCTACCATAAAGTAGGAGCTATCCAAAATATAGGAGGCTTGCCTTTGATTATGCCTAAGGCCTTTTCCAGCTCTGAGATCCTGCCTTGAGCACATATCTGCTGCCATGGCAGGAAGAACATCCTCTCTAGGCCAGCTCTCTGTTACCCTAATTGTAGAAAAGGCAGACACTTGTCACAGGAGTTATCCGAGGAAGAGAAACCAATAGGTCAGGTCCATAGAAACTGCTTCCCTTCAGCTGCGCCTCCAGAAATGGCTTCCCAGGCTTCCACTCATATTTCAAAGCCTGAAATTCTTCTGTGGCAAGGGAAAATGTCTCCTGAAGTTAGAATCAGACTGTGTGTTGGGATGTGCCAATTTCAGTTCCGTTCTCATGTCATTGGAGGAATAAAAAGCAAGATTTATATTCAGGTTAAAAGCAACAAACTGGAGTTTGTACAAGAGAGACATTACTTATGTGGCTTACACCTTTGAAAAATGTGAATTTGCCAAAAATATCAAGAAGATCATCACTCCATCTGGAACTATTTGATTGCATTTGAGCTCCCACAAGGACAGTTTGTTGGCTTTTTGCATTTTTATTTTTCCTGCTTATCCCATCCCAGAAGAAACAAGTCTAGGTTTAATGAAGAGAATGACAGTGTGTTTAAGTGTCTGCTGTGTTTCCCTTCTGATTTCATTAGAGGTTCATTTTTTCCATGTGCAAACTATGGAAGGCTAGGTTCCCAGGAGGAATGCTGATGAATTATTATCTTATTTTATTTTTTTGTATGGGAAGTGATTTAACATCTGCTAGGGCTTGAGAAGTTTGCGTTCATTTTTAGGAGAATCTATTAGTAGGCTTAAGTACTACTAGCTCCTAACATTTTGATGGAATATTCTTGCCATATGTCTGACTAAACTTTCTAAGTTAAATATACTTAGACTTTAGGAAGTTAATAAACAAGAAACGCATTAGAGGAGTCATACAAAGCAGGTAATGGTGTGAGGCTTGTGTGTGTGCAGTAATGCTCCCTACCCCTCAGGGACTCATTCTGAGCCCCCGAGTAGATCAATGAAACTGCAGAGCTCTGAGCATCATGTGTGCCACTCCTCCCCCACTGAAGGGTTCACAATGACTAGTAATACAACAATCCAAAAATATACTCAGCAGTTACTTGAAACTTATGAATTGTTTATTTCTGGAAATTTCCGTTTAATTCTTTTGTTTCATGCTTGGCCCAAGGTAACTGACACAGTAGAAAGTGAAGCCACAGAAGCCAGGGGGCCACTGCAGTCCCACACTACATTAACTGAATATTACAAGCTTTATGATATTTAAGCTGAACGGAGATATCTGCCTCATTGGTTCAGATAACCCTGACTTGAGGCTTTTGGTAATGTGATTAATTCCATCTGCACGTTCCTTAATCTGTTGAAGACTTGAGGGGGAAATCCAGAACAAGTTCTAACCAGGAAGTCCCTTATACAGCATACACTCATGTCAAAACCAAGATAATTGCCACTTGTTGGCCTCCTGTATCTGAGGAGGAGCAAGAAAGATGGTCCTTAACCAGAGGCTGTTAGGTGTGGCCAGCCTTACCCTCTAGTTCAGGGTGTAATGGTGACTTCACACTTGGCGCCCTTGCTGCATGGGCCCAGGAATGGGTGGCATGGAGACTAAACACGGGAGAGATACTGCAAGGGAGGTCTTAAGAGGAGAGTTGAGTGCACCTCCTCTCGAGCTGGCAATTCTTCACAGAAATTGGCTGTGTTTTCACTGGCTGGGTTAGCTTGCTCAGGTAATCCTCTGATTCTCTCAGATTGCAACATACATGCAAATGACAAGTACCTGAATGCTGCAGGATTCAGTAACACCATAGAAAGAGTAAGACAAGAAGTGTAAGATGAAAACTGCGGTCAGAGAAAGTAGGTGAGCATAGTTGTGCGTGCTCAGACATGGCTCAGAGAAGGTGGCATCAGGGCAGACATACCAACTATTGACAGGGAAGCCCTGCCAGGACCTGGGGGAAGAAAGTTACAGACCAAAGATGGCCGAGGCAGGAGTAAACTGGTACTTTGATGAGGACCCATGATCTAATACAGGTGGAACACTCAAGCAAGAGAGAGGAAGAGGAGGCCGTAGAGGTACTTGGGTCTTTTTAAAGGAGGATAAATGTTAGCAGGAGGGATTAGAGGATGTAATGGGCTTTGAGTGATGTGATGCTCTGTTTATAAAAGATCTGTGTGCTTTATTGGAAGAAAGGTTGTGGAGGAATCATGGAGTTAGTTCTGAGAGTAGGGAAACCAACTGGAAGGCTGTTGGAATAGTCTTAAGCACAAAAATGAATGTTGCTTGCATAATGGAAATATCTGCTCCCACATTCATGCTATGGCACTATTCGTGTACACATCATCTTGTTCCTAAGAGCTACAGGTATCCAGTGATTTAAAAGACAGTCGTGGATCCCAGTGGAACAAGTTCAGTCCCTGGAGATACTTCTGCAGACCATGGACACAAAGTTTTCTGTGGGAGTTAATTCTGCCCTTAAATAATGGAGCTCACTAAGAGAGGAGTTACAGGGAGAACCCTTGGAAGCACCTCTAAAAGCCACCCCCCCCATACACACACAACCTGCCCACATAGCATGAAGCACACCTGATGACAAAATGACAGACTGTGAATGAACATTTGTGTAAAGTTCTGGGACACTAGGGCTACGAACCTGGACCCCATGCCCTTCACCTTCCCTGCTGCTGGGTTGTGCTCTTTCCCAGTGATAAATGGATCCCTTATCAAGGCTTTAGTGTACAAAGTTTTCAGTTCTAGCTGCCCAGTTTAGCTCGGGAGTTCAGAGACCCTGCAGGAGGTAGAGAGCATGTGATGTAGGAAGGCCAGCCTGAGATCTTCCATTCCATCCTCTGGCTCAATAGGTAGTAGGGTCTCCAAGGTGTGCTTTTGTATTCTCACAGCTGCTCAAGCACTTCCTAGTTTTACATCACGTTCTTTGACCTTCTTCTTTTCTATAGCTAATTGCCAGCATTAGATGCCATAAGACGGCTCCTCTGAGCATGTTCCCCTTGGCCTTGAGCTGTGTGTATTTCAGTTGTACCCAAGAATACCTCCACCTTGGCTGTCTTATGTGTGCAGATCACTGGTTATGCTTTCTTCATTGGGGTCTTACATATAGGCATACAGTACGTCTTTAATTTTTGGTGTCATGTGCTAGGCACATTCTCTCAAGTGTCCTCTTACTGCTTTGGAACCTGGCTCATGACATAGATTCTTGTATTTTCAGCTGAGGCTCTGTTGAATTTAAAAGCACATGCATTTCATCACTATGCTAAGAGGAAAAATTAAAGGGTTCATCTGTCACAATGGGTCATTATATAACCAAGCTGTCACTTTGGTGTAGCTGTTTTAGGAGGTGGGACTGTGCCTGTCCTCACTTCAGCCTGTCACAAAGAATATCTCAGGCCAAGGCAGACACCTATTGAATTGTTCTACATTATTCTCCATGTAGGTAATGACCAACTAGTAGCTACTGGTTACCTAGTCCTTACCCAATTTTGGTATAACAGTTTGTTCTAATTTCATTTCAGGTTTGTCTACAGATTTCCTTGAATAGAGCAAAGGGTTTATTTTTCCGGGTTCCCACAAATACTCCCTGCTCCTGTTTCCTATTCCTGAGAAGCATTTCCTCTTTGACACCCTTGGATTCCAAAGACCTTACTTGGTTCAAATTCAAACACAGCAGTGATCTCAGAAGAAAAGGGACCATTTCTAACTCTTCTGTAGCATTTATCACATAAAATATACACTAGAGGACCTGTCCCCTCCCTCAGATTGCTTTGCTAAATGTTCTGTGTTCGCACACTAATACTTACCTTTTCTATTCAGCTCCAGCCAAAGATCTTCTGATCTATAGAACTTCCCATCTTCTTTAGAACCAGTGAAAACTAACCGTATGTCTGTCTGTCCAGAATTGAACTCCTCTTGCATTCTTCTCACAGATCTGCCTCTGCATCAGCATCTAAATCTGGATGAATGCTCACCATCTCTCCACCCACAAGACACCTTCACATCTTCATCTCCTTCATCCTCTGACTCTCCAGAGTGTATTGATTTCTCTCGCCAAGGGCTCTTAAATCTGTTCTTGCCCCTCCTCATTTCATACCCTAAGTAATTGGGCCCTTACCTCGCTATGGGGCCTGGAGGTGATAGATGCCTCATCCTGTTGTAGGTGCCTCTGCCTGGTAATTGGTGACTCTCCTGCCAGACCTGACTAGACAGTTGAGTTGAGCCCTTTTTAATGTCATGTTTCCTTGTCTTAGATACTTACCTGAATTCCTTTTGTGCTCTGCTTTCAGGGTGAAATGCAGCTTTCTTATGTAGAACTGGCCATTGTTTACCTCCAGCTGAGGTGTCCAGATGGTTCCTTGCATCTGTTCACCCCATCCATGCTTGCTGGTCCCTGAGCTGAGCCACCATGACTTTGCTCATTTGATAATGCTCACATTTGTCATCTCTCCATCCTGATACTGTCTGATGGCTTGCCACTTATTCTTGAGTCTTCTGCTCACATTTCTTTTCTAAGAATCTTCCCCCAAACCCTCACCGTCTACTCTAGGACCAAAGACATGCTGTTCTCTCTGAGTGTATAATGCTCATATGTGACCTAAGCGTTTTAACTCTGGGTGTGGTACTGCTGTTCTCCATGCTTTTATAACGCTCATATATGAGCTAAGAGTGTTGACTCTGGATATGACACTTTCAGACAGACACTTGCTAGACTGGGAAAAGTGAAGGACTAATTACTATGTAGAAGAAATTTTGGTCATAAAATACTACAAACTATGACAGTCTCCCTTTGGACACATTAAATTAACTGAATACTTAGGAAACCCATTTATTTTATTTTTTTATATTTCAGTTCCAAGATGTAAATCTCTGAAGGAAACAGACTTCATTAAAACGTCTGTGTCAGACTGTTACTGCTACAATCAAAATTTGCAAATACAGTGGACATGTATGTGGTCGACTGTGCAGGTTAGGGCCTACTTTTATATTATATTATATTATATTATATCTTGAGTGTGAAATTAAAATGTACCTCTTAGGATTTAAATATATATATTTTGTATGACATATAGGTGATGTAAAAGGATGAAAGCTAACTTAAGGTGCATATGTGGGCTCAAGGAGGTGTTATGTGGCAGAGGACATTAATTACTCTTATATCTATGCAGGTCTTCCCCTGTCCATTTCTAATGACTTAATGTCTTAAATCAGTGGTTCTCAACCTGTGTGTGTGTGGGGGGGAGGTCAAATAGCTCTTTCACTGAGGTTACCTAAGACTATTAGAAAACACAGTTATTGATTAATAACAATAGCAAAATTACAGTAATAAAGTAGCAACACAATAATTTTATGGTTGGGTGTGATAGCATCTCATCTTGCCAGTGAATGTGTTAATGGCCACACCCCTTTTGGCGTGGCTTCAGGTGCAGACATGACTGGAAAGTAGAAAAGCAAGGGGGTGAGCTCTCTGGCTCTCTCTTTGGTGAAGGATGGCATGGGAAAGGCAGAGACTGCATCATCTGGAACAGGAATACTGAGGAGGTTTTTTGCTATTATCTATGTAAGTTTTTCCCCAACAAAATACCCATTTATCATTTATCTTGGGTCTAGTGAACTCATTAATACCCTGTCTTCAATTGGAGTCACCACAACTTGAGGAACTGTATTAAAGGGTCACAGCATTAGGAAGGATGAGAACCCTGCCCTAAGTGAACACAAAGAAGCAGTAATAATAAAAGGTGATGAGGGCACACACTGAGAATGACATTTCAGAGGGACTTGGGTTCACTGGGGAAGGAGTGCTGTAGGCTGAGGGATGGTCTGCCCTTGTCCCAGGACATGGTGCTGACTTGTATCCTTTCTAGAGAATAAGATGCTTGAGGCTTTGTACTTTTTTGTGCCACCATGCCTGGTACCTTGTTCATTTTTTCCAGTGAGATTTTGGGACAGGAAAGCTTCAGTAATCCATACCTCACACCCCTATTCATCCATTCTACTCTTTCCACCAAATGACTGACTTTACAACTCCAGCACCTCCTCCCCATCTTCATTGTTGGCTGATGATTCTTCCACTTCATTAAAAATAGGGGAAAATCCTCTGAGACACAAGAGGTGGAAAAGATTGTAAGAGGCAGAGAGGGTGAAAAAGGCCAAGGAAACAAGGCCTCCTAGACATGATAGGACTGAGGCACAGGCGAACTCACAGAGAATGTGGCAGCATGTACAGGTGTACAGGTCTAAACTAGATGGGGTTCCACTATCAGGAGGGGAGGGAGACACATGCCCCACCTCCACCTGAGAAACCAGCTCCAGTTGACAGCCATGTAAAGGGAACGTTAATTTTCTTCAGTGAGGTTTCACTGAGTATACAAACCACACATATGGGCAGGCCCCATGTCTAGTAGTAGAAGAGCAACACAAAATGAATTCAAAGATATTTTGGGGGGTTTTAAAAAATTATTATTCTTACAGGTCTTTTGCTTATATATCCTGTTTTCCAATTCTGTGGGATTTATGGGATTTGTGTCTGTGAATGTGTGTCTCTAGATGTGTTTCTTGTGCTTTTTCTTTCAGTACTTTTTTTCTGTTCGTTTAATTTTTTTTAATCATTATTTATTTAATTTAGATGACAGTTTATTTTCTAATCAGAGGGAAAAAGGCTGTGGATTTGAGTGGGTGGGGAGGATCTGGGAGAAGTTGAGGGAGGGGAAGCCATAATCAAAATATATTGGATGGGGAAAAATTGTTTTCAATTTTAAAAAAATGTAAAGAGTAAATATTGAGGTCATGTATGGGGAAGAAAAAAATGGAAACATTCAGAAACGATTATGTACTGGCTTTTTCCTCACTGTCCGCCCACCTATGAACACCTGAAAGCACGTGCTTTCCTCTCTGCCAGTGAGGAGGAATGTCAGCCATGGGAGAGATGTATGTGTTTGAGCGCTTGACTGGTGTGCTGGGCTGTCCCCATCCTTGCCTGCTCAAGTCCATCCTGAAAGCACTTCCCAGTTTACTGGATGATTCTTAACAAAGAAGTGACAGTAGTACTTTTCCATTTGTAAAATGTCACAATTCTGTGGACTCCAGTTTTCTAACTTTTTCATTTCTCGACTTCTCACTATAATAAAATTCCTTTTTAAAGTTGATGTCTGCAGCCTACAGTTCTCCCATTCTCTAAACACTTCAGTCAGTCAGACCTTCACACCAAAGTCCCTAGCATCTCCACGTTGCTAATTTCAGTGTGACCTCAAACTTGTGACCCATTGTCTCCGAGTCCCAAGTTCTGGGACTATAGCCACATGCATATCACACCTGGCAAAACTTTCACTCCCCGAGGCATCTGTAAACTAAATGTTAAGTGTGTGACCTTCCAGCCACTCAGGACCAGAGCCCTAGCCTGTACATCGGAGCTGTCTTCCCTAAGCCATTCCTGGGTTCTTACCCCTCTGTTTGAGCTAAGGGGAAGGTTGTGATTCTGCCTAGATTGATCTGTTCTTATTTTATAGGTGACAGTTACCAGTCCAGGCCTGCTTAGATTTGTATATATCACAGGAAGTCATAATTGCCAGCATCCAGAGGGCATTCTGTCATTTATCAGATGTGTGATTCACAACTTTTGGGTACCAGAGGAGTCTAACAAAATGACCATGCTCATCACTCCATTCGGTGAAACTGTATGCTTCTCTGTGGAGCCCATTGGGAAGGTGTTTACCTACACAGTGAGCGTGGACGGAAACAGTAAGTCTCTTGCCGTTGTAGTTGACTGGACTTTCAGTAAGTTGCTGTGCCTGTTCTTTCTGCAACTTTATATACTGACACAAAACATCTGTGTTCTTTGTTTCTTTTTATTTTCCAGTTGTGGATTTCAAACTCCTCCTTGTGTTTGTGGCAGGCATTTCCCTCTTCTTTTATGCAAAGACTTTGAGCCAGTAAGTGTCCATTTTTATAATTGTAGTGTTCTGATTCAAAGGCATATACATTGTTTCTGACTCTGTGCTGAGTATTTGCACACCACTTGCATGTTTTTGGTTCTTCTGGGTTTACAAATGATGAGCTGAAGGCAACAGAGAATCATCTTTGAAGATAGCAGTACATGTTTGTATGGCAGATGTGTACATGGTGCAGAGTATGCCTGCTTACACTAGTTCACACATGTGAACTTGGTACTACTACTCTTATTTTGTTGATTATAGAACCCACATCCATCTTCACTGGACTGGTTTTTAGGAGTGCCAAGTTTGTGCTCAGGTTTTCTGATGTCAGGGACTTGCTGTCTTATTGCATTCGATTTGCCTCCTGGATTGGTGGGTCTGACTTTGGATATGGGATATGACAAATACTTGCTTCTTGGATGTACGTGTTACCCTGATGTTTTGTTTCTTGTAACTTAGCCTATGAAAACCACTGTCTTGGCAATATTTACTTCTTAACCTCCCCAACCTGCTTTATACCAATATTTCCCTGTAAGGAGTACGGTTTTTCTGCCCGCTGCCTGGTCTTGTCCCTCCACCACGCCAGCCCCAATTAACACACAGAGACTCTGTATTAGATATAATTCTATTGGCCCAGTACTAGTTTCTTATTGGCTAGCTCTGTCTTAAGTATTAACCCATTTCTGCTGATCTATGTATTTCTCTTACAGGGGAGCCGGTCAGCATTCTGCTTTCTCCCGACTCTCCATCTTGGCTCCTTCTTACTCCTTCCTATTTCCTCCTTGTCTCCTAGTCCCTCCTATCTTCCTTTCCTATTGGCCAACAGTGCTTTATTCATTAACCAGTATGAGAAACATATACAGAATGACATCTCCCATCATTTCCCCATCATTCTTACCCTTGCTCACTTTTGAGCTCTTCTTTAGGGTGTGGTCAGGTGTGTGTAGTGTTGTCTGCCAGCTTTTCTGACTGGATGATGGGTCTGTAGCAGGAAAGGGAAAGCCTAGATGCTGATGAGCTAGGCTGCTGTCCGGAATCCTCCAGCAGCCAACTCATTTGGAAAAGTCTTTTAACTTCTTGTTATCTCAGTTTCCTCCTCTGTAAGATTTAGCCATAGGTATCTGGGAAGTCATGGGAGCTCTCAAGCAAGTGCTTGCTATGTGACAGGTGCATATATTGTTGGATCCCATTCTGAATATAGAAGATAACTCTCACATTCAGCAGCAGTCTGTTTACTGAAACTTTCATGTTCCAATTTCAATTTTAACATATGGAACATGGTTAGTTTTTCTTTCTTAGTATTCCTTACTGGCCACTCTTGCCACATTGAGCATTATGATGTTTTTTTTCAGTGTTTATTACTGAAAATGCTGCTTGGTGTTGATGAGGCCTTTTTCTCTGTCTTGACAGAAGCCCCACTTTCTATTACTCTTCGGGTACCATGTTAGGTGTTCTAATGACACCAGTTTTTGTCCTTCTGATGGCTAAGAGACACATTCCAAAGGTAGGTATCTTACATGCAAGTGAGTAAAAGATGGGAAACAAGTTTTTAGAGATATTAAAAAGATAATCAAATTAATTCAGATTGTGACACTTCCTGATTCAACTGTGCTCCTCTGCTGTACACATTGACTTTAAGATGTGTCTGTTTCTGGAGTCAGTTTGTGTAGGATTATACTGTTGGATGATGTTTTTGGTACCTTTTTTTTTTTTTTTTTTTAATGTTTCTTGGGAGAGTGACCCTGAGTCTTTGGAGCTTTACAAAATGGTGGCACTTCATCTGGGTTCTTTGTTCTTGTTGTATCTCCTCTATGCCTTCAATAAAATAATGTCCCAAAGAATAAATAAGTATCCATGATTGTAACTTTGTGATAGCTATGATTAAAGTTCTAAATGGCAGCATTGTCTTGAGATAATGCTATATTTTTTAGTAGTGCTCTCCAACTTTAATGTACATGTTAGCCCACTGGGAGGCTTGTTAAAATGTAGATTCTGGTTTAGTGGTGGGACCCAAGTCTACATGCCATTAAGCTCCCATGTGAAAATGGCTCTCCTCTTAGGACCATGCCTTGAACAGTGAAACTCAGAGTAGATAAGTGCTTAACTTTGACTTGACCTAGACATTTCTAGAACAAAGAATCTGTTTGTTTGCTTCTATTTTTATGAGAGTGAATGAACCAATATATGTATATATATATTGTGTCGTTTATTTTCTTCCGCACACAGTATAGCACGTTTGGGGCGCTAATGATTGGTTGTTGGTTTGCTTCAGTTTATGTTGTGTGCCAGTTGATGGAAGATCTGAAGTGGCTGTGGTGTGGAAACAGAATATATGTATTCGGTAGGTAAATACACAGAAGAACCATCTATCATTGGTCAGGTTGGAAAGTTCAAGCAGAGGACTTCTGACATGTTTCTCTCCGTATAAATTTTCATTTGATTTAAGGAGAGGTGCAATTAAAAACAATATTTTATTTCATTCCCATAGTTCATGTTTTAGTTCATTTAGATCCCATTTTAAACGATTTTCCTTTCTAACCTTCCTTAGTTTTCTGTACAAATCATCAAAAGAGTAAAAATGCTTTAGAATTGTGGCCAAATTCTAGCCACATCCAAGCTGTGATGTAAATGCCTTTAAAGATGGCTCTCCCTGCACCTCTCAGGCCTCTTTCTTTAGGCACCCTGTATAAAAGATAGGAAATGTAATGAATGGAAACTTGACTTTTCAGAAACCAAGAGGAAAATTACCACTTAATCCCCTTGTTCTGTGTTATAGAATTCTTTAATTTTGTTAGGAAATAATGGGAATTGGAGCCCCATTGACATCAGAGTTCACATATAAAGACAGCATTGCTAAAACAAAATCAATTCATCTTAAACAATTTGTTTTTAGCCTACTTTCCTATTATATTAAAGTAGTTGTGATATACTCACAACATGGAATATTCTTCTAAGTTCTTTACTCTTTGTCTCCAACAAAAAAGAGCATTTTCTATATAACCAAATAACTATGGATTACTGTTATTAGTGCTAGGGATTGTACTTAGGACGGCATGTAAACTTGGCATCTGTTATGCCACTGAGTTATATCCTTAATAATTGCATAGAATCATCTATTGCCCAGGTTGTGTTAAGATTTTGAGTTGTCTTTGCTGCCTGACTGTATAACCTGAATGTCATGCTGAGCCTCTGTAGCACCAGCTAGGCCTGGTGACTCTCGGTCCACCATGGTCCACACCTTGGTCACAGAAGTGTGCTGGAGAAGCCGAGTAAGGCATCCTGTGAAAGTTCCACTCTCTGGATTTTTGTGGCATCATTTAACATTTCTCCTCTACATCTACTGCAAATAAGAAATTGAATCTCAAGGGTTTCTTAGAAACACATTAAGCACTTGTGGAGGGAATCATTAGAAGTGATGTGCACTTCCCATCTGATGGCACACCATTGGTACGATGGACCGAGTGTAGCTAGCAAACCATGACTACCTGATCACGCCTCTGTAAAATAACATTCTCCTTTAGTGACTAGAAGATAAAAATTAAAAATAGTGTTTATAGCAATGTGTGGAATCTGCTGGCTTACTTTTGACCAAGGCAACCATGAACCATTTGGCCACTCAGGACACTGGACATAGAAAAGACTTGACTATGTAATATCGTAATTACCAGTGTATATCTTAAATTATTACAAGTCAGCCTGTTGGGCTGGAAAGACTACTCAATGGTTGAGAGTGCTTGCTGCTTTTCCAGGCCTGGAGTTGGTCCCTGCACGTAGATTGGTTAGATTGCAGCTGCCTGTAGTCCAGTTCCAGGGCATTGGCATCTTCTTCTGGCTTTTGTGAGTACCAACCACATGTAAACATACAGACAGATAATTATAATACTCAAGTACAAGGACTAATGAGCTATAGGTGCATTTTCAACCTTCATCAGGAAAAGGGACTATTTCTTGTTTTCTTCATTTTTTAAATTGAGGTTTTCTGATAGATGTCATTTTTCAATCAAGGCTCTGCCAGATATTCCACATCAGTTCTCAAGTTCAGGTTTAAATTGCTGTCCTTCTGTGTCTCCAGGCTACATCTTGGTTGTTGGACTTTGTAGCTTTGCTGCCTGTTACAGGCATGGGCCTCTCGCTGACGAGTGGAGCAGAGGCCTTCTGATGTGGACACTGCAGTTCCTGTCCCTGGTCCTGGTCTACACTGGTGTGGCTGTGCCTCTCTTTGCCTATGCCGTCATGATCCTCCTGCTGTTCTCCTGGAGCCTGCGCTATCCACTGAGAGCATTCAGCTATCTGAGGTGGTGGGTATCTTTTCTGTGGCTACCAACTCTGGTTTTATTTATTGGTTTAAGAGATACTTTGGTTATATCTTATAAGTAATTATGTTTAGTCTGGAGGTTTCACTCTGAAAGAACAGGAGGAAAAAGAGCTCTAAGCTTTACACCCATCTCCATTGAATTCGAACACCAATTACACGGTAGTTAGAGCTCACTAAAACCAGTGGCAAAATTGATTGGGCTCTGGGTTGCCTAAATTTCTACCTTTATCGTGCATTTTTTTTCTTCATTAGAACCAAGATTGCCATGGTGATATTGTGTTCATGAGATAAGAATTAGGAGAGAATGTATCAAAAATGATTGGAAGAAGTTATTCAAATCATTTTATTAAGGGCTGGCTTTGTTTTAGGTTTTAAATTAAGGCTTAGGCTTTGTGAAAATACAGAAAAATGAAGTAACTTCTGCTGATGCAATATGTCATGTGTTTCCGTGGTATGTAGATCTATGTCAAGAATACAGATGGAGATGGCCCTAACCTTGAGGTGTGCTTGTTGAAATGTAGGCATACATTTATATATCTTCTGCCTTTCAAAAAAGACGTGTGTGTGTGTGTGTGTGTGTGTGTGTGTGTGTGTGTGTGTGTGTGTGTGTGTCTGCTATATGTTTGTGGATACCCAGAATGGCCAGAAGAGGGCATCAGATTCTGAGCCACCTGTTGTGTGTGCTGGCAACCATACTACAGTCCTCTGGAAGAGCAGTTGGCATTCTTAGCCACTGGGCTGCCCCCCACAGCCCCCCATCCTTAAGTATCCTGTAAGTATGAAAACAATGCTTGCTCAGGAACTAAAGTGGTATCAGTCTGTGAAAAACTTTCTGGAGACATATCATCGAGTTGACTCCTTAGTAATGACCCAGAATGACCCTTGGACAGATGTGGAGTGCTTTCCAGACAGAAATAAAGACCCACATAGTGCCATCATCATGTACCAGTGCTGTTCTGTACAGTGAGTGAGGTGTGCCCTGGCCAGAAAGGGATTGCCACATGCTGCATTGTGGAATCTACTCTAATTCTGTGTATAGGGGCTGGTAAGGGGCTAAGTAGTGTGTACTTCCATTAGTTCTGTCTGATGCCTGTCTATACAGAACACATAAATTCAAATGTTTGGGCCAGGGCAGGAGCAAGGCAGTGGGAAATTCTGCACTGCACCCCCACCACAAAGGCAGTAGTTAAAACCAGCAGAAGCTGATTGTCATTATGTGCCGACATGGATCCTGCCTTCAGTCTGTTCTAAGACAACTGCAAATGTAGACTGGAATCCAAATGTAATCCTTACAGTGCAAATTGGCAGTTAAGATAATGAAAAATAAAAATTAAAAAAAAAAACACCTGACAGATAAAAACTAAACTTGAGACAATGAGCAATTGTTGGCTGGTAGGATAGACCCATCTGCTTTCTGACTTAGAGGGTTGCTAAATGGAGAGGCTCCTACAGTAGAAGACATTCTTAGACATTGCTATTTATGGTCCAGGCAGGCACTGGTAGGGACTTGAAGCAGGAGAGTGACATTAAGTTTGGTAAAGGGAGTTAAGAGATGTTTAATAAATGGTGACGGGTAGTTTATGGACCTGGTGGCTACATGTGTGGCAGTGTCACTGGACTAAAAAGCATCAGTGACAATACAGGGTGTCCACGCAGAGGGAAGTGACAGGCTAAAAGCAGTACAAGTAGGAGACCTGAGACCAAGGGGCTTGGATCTTTGCCCTGATCTGGGATTATTAGAGGTCCTTCTACCAGGAGGAGGCTGGCATTGTAGAACCTCCAGGCCAGCATCTTTGCCAGGCTTGTGGACCAAGGAACCCAGGGTAGAGTTCCTTTCTCCTTCCCTTAGCCACCCAGCTGTCTTGCCAGTAGCAAGTATGTCTCATTGATGGGGATGTCCTTCTATATGCTGTGAATATATATTTCTCTTAATGATTGATGAATAAAGCTGTTTCAGACATTTGACAGGCAGGATGTAACCAGGCAGGAAGTATAGACGGGACTACCAGATTAGGAAAATTCTGGGAAGAGGAACACAGAGACTGAGTCAACAGGGAGACGACATGCAGTTACTGGGAAGATAGGATGCTTGGGCATTTCTGTTAATCCAAGACCATGTGGAAATACATAGATTAATAGAAATGGGTTAATAATTAAGAGAGAGTTAGCCAATAAGAAGTCTGAGCCATAGGCCAAACAGTTTATAATTAATAGAAGCCTCTTTGTGTTTATTTGGGACTGAACGGCAGCAGGACCTGGTGGGACAGAAACTTTGGACCACATCTTGCCATTTGTGTGGTGGCACCATTATGGATCAGTGGGGCATTTGGTAATAAGCAATATGTACTGTTATGCTGTCTACTTTAAATCTTGCTAAAGAATAGTTATATGAAAACACAGAGCCTAAAGCAGGAATTTATAAGTTAAACAATAGACCAGAGAAAGAATGTATTGACATTTGCTCAAACTTTCTTGTTTGCAAAAAGCTGTTTACATAATATATATATATATATATATATATATGTTACTGATTCTTTGGATTAGCTCCTGAGCAATTTGCATAAATGTCCCATTTCATCTGTACACTGACTAAGGGACAGTGATACTGCATTTCTTCCTTTCATGGTACACAAGTAGAGTGGAGCTTGGAAGGTACTGGCCAGTTCAGCCTGTGCGGGCTGTGCTGGGTGCTCTGGGCCTGAGCCTGCTTCTTCCTGTAGCAAACCTGGCCAGGTATTCAGAAGAGGAGAAAGAAACAATGTCACTGATTCTTCAGTCCAGTCCATCAACCCTTAGACAAACCTTAAGAGGGAAGAGTTCTTTACCAGTCTCATCAGCCCTCAAACAAACAAACAAACAAAAACAAAACAAAACAAAAAAAAAAACTGTGTTTTTAAACTCTGAGGAATCTCTACTAAGTTAGATCTGAAGTCACCTGGAAACATTTTTAAGACTCACTGATGTGGCACAATTGTTATTTAAAACTTTATCACGAATATGTCCTTAATAGCCTCTTGAAGTCCTAAAGATCGTCATATTATTATAGTGTTTATTACTTTTCTGATTGAAAAAGAAAATCTAGTGCCTGGCTTCTTAGTGTGTATGTAGCCAAAGAACTAATCTTATGTTCTTTCCCATACAGGATCTTGGTGGCGCTTGCTCTCCTTGTCACGTTAGTCACAGGTTGCACCACTAGGTGGAGGTGATAGCCCACAGATCAGCCTCTTGTAGTCAGAGGTGTCTGGCCCTGTTGGTCTCCATAAAAGGACATACTGAAAGCTTGTTTCTGTTTGTGCCAAAGAAAATCAGCAGAGTAAGGAAGCCAGAATTTTTGTCTAGTTGTGTGATTAGAACTCACTAAAATTTTTTATAATCAACATCTCAATCAGAAATCGATTCTCAAAGGCCTTAGGACATTGTTATGGTGGGCAGATAAGCCGGGAAGCATGGCACTGCTGGTTCTTTCTCCTTAGTCACAGGACTGTGGAAAGCACAGGGCACTGTACAGGAGTTCAGGGGCATTACTTTTGATGTTTAAGATGTATTTTTGTATGTCATAAGGATTGGAGTCTGGTAACCAGATGTCATGTGTTTTAGGAAAATGAGGCATTGGTTTACAACAGAACCGCTGGTGGTGAGGTTTCTCACTGATGATGAGTACAGGGAACAAGCCGAGACTGCAACAGCCAATGCTCTTGAGGAACTGCGCCGTGCCTGCTGCAGGCCTGACTTCCCTTCCTGGTTGGCTGTCTCTAGACTCCAGACTCCTAAAAAGTAAGTCCTACTCTGGCCACAGGTCGTGTTCTGAGTGATTTGAAAATCACATAGTATTTCTGAGCACGCATTGCTACTTAGAAACAACCATTTCTCTTGATTACACCTTGTACTAAAGATGTGGGAGAGCTAAAGTTCGAGAAAATATGGACCTGGTGTGTCATGCAGATGGAGCGAGGCATTGACACTGAGAAGTGAGCAATACATTCCACTCACAAGGAGCAGGGAGGAGATGAGTGAGTGACTGGATGCCCCTGGCATGCTGGGGCTTCTTAACCCTGCATACATTTGCACCTTCCCATGCATAGCTGTCTGCGGAAGACTGCATAAGCCAGTCTCTGTACTGGGGGTGAATGCCTCCTTCCGCTGATATAGTCAGACTTAATCTAAGGGGATAAGCAGTGAGGCACACTTTCAGATAAACCTGTGTGACAACAGTACCTGCTTAAAATTTCTTAGGTTTGCAGACTTTGTTCTTGGAGCGAACCACTTGTCACCTGAAGAAGTCAGCACACATGAAACGCAGTATGGCCTTGGGGGTGCCTTCTTGGAAGAGCAGCTCTTTAGCCTTCATACTGACAGTCTACCTGCAAGTTGACTTCTTTGCGAGCAAGAGAGCCGGTAAAAGGCAAAGATCCTATTACAGTGGGCAAAACCATCTGATGGCACTAGGAAAAGGGTGCGCTGCAGAGAAAATAAGCATTATAAGGGAAAGCACATGTTAAGGACTTACTCTTGGCAGCTCACGCACTGTGCCGTCAGTGGCATGAAGACTCTTTAAGAGTCATGGCCACTTGCCCTGAATGAAGACCTCCGTTAGAACAGTGTGGCGCCTGTTCATTAGGACCAGTAGGCAAGGTCAGACACTGTTCCAGCACCAGGCACCAACGTCTTGATGCCTCGAAGCTGGGTCAGAAGGCTGCACCGTTCTCCCTCATTTCTTATTATCAGTGTTTTCTAAAGTGCAGTCCACATGATACTAGTCATGGCTGGTAAAGGATTCTCATGCCAGCCGTGACTGACTCAGAGTCACACACATTGCAGGCTTCTCAGTCTTCAGTGGTGTGAAGGCTTTGTGCATCTTCTGAAAGACAGAAGGCAAGGGCTTTGGGCTTACTGACCATCAGCCATTTTTCATGAGATTGATAACTTTGGAACATATTTGGAAAATACTACTGAAGTGTAATTTAGGTTTGAGAAATGCGTCCTCGGCAGCCTCAGCAGTGTTCCAGCCCTGTGCATCCTGAGACTCAGGTAGAAGATGTGTCCACATGCAGGTTCAAGGCTGACTCCCTACAGCCTTCGTCTCACCCCGTTGGTGCCTCTGTTTTGTGTTGATGTCATAGTTATTTGTTTGTATTTTAAGTAATTGCCAATTAGCTATAATAACTGGTGAAATATTTCTTAGGATCATATTTAATGTTTTGACAAGATTTTATATGCAGATTAAAACTTATAGTTACTATTTGTACTTTTTATATATTGAAATTGACATTTATGACATTTTGAGATTTATTTTTTTAAACTGATTTTATATGTTTGCAATGATTTCTCACAAAATAGAGTTTAGATACTTTTTTTTATATATAGAGAGAGCTAATGTTTCTTGATCCATTATAAACTTCAGCATGAAATGAGCCACTAACTGTGCTTTGACCCCAGGGAAAGGTACAGAAACACGGGTCTAAGGGTTGAATATGGCAAACGTCTGTGAACATGTCACTGGCTTGATTCTCTGAAAATAAAATGCAGGGCTGTTTTGTTTTTGTTTGTAATATAATGATAAAAAAATGTCCTTTATAAAAAAAGGCACAGTGAGGGAGGAATATACAGAAGTTGTCACTGTCATTTTTTGAAAGTAATGCTGTGTGTAACTTTCTAGATAGATTCTCAAGTGATCTCTCTTTGAAGCAGTCTGTCAGTGTTTCTAGGTCTGATTTTGACAGACATGTTTAATATTAGGGGTCTTGTTCCTTTCCTTAGAAACTTCACTCATTTATTTCAGTGTGTGCTTTTACACAAATCTTGATTTTAAAAAGTCAAAGAACACCATCTGGAGAGATGGCCCAGTGGTTAAGGAGCACTTGCTGCCTTGCAGAGGACCAGGGTTCAGTCCTCACCCCCACATGGCATGGCAGCTTGAAGCCATCTGTAACTCCAGTTCCAGGGGATCTGATACCTTCTGACTTTTCAGGCATCAGGCACGCATGTGTTGCACTTACATACATACAGCCAAAACGTTCATGCATAAAATAAAAATTTTAAATCTAAAAATAAAATTTATATACAAAACTGTCAAATGAGGTGCTTCCGTTCATCTTGGCAACTATTTTGCAGGTATAGACAAGAGTTCCACCATGATTTGGCCACAGCTTACCCTGGTTTTCATTTTCTGTAACTTTATTGGTGGTATATTGTAACATGTCAGGGGTGTCATTGTTTGTGCGTAGCCATTTTCACTCTCACTCAGCAGCGTGTCTAGTATGGACTGTGTGCACCCGTTGGTCCACCCGACAGCCCAGCCTTCCTGAGCCACTAGAGACTGCACTGAGGAAGCAGCTCCAACAGCAGCAAGCCAGGGTAACCATAATGAAGACAGAGGCATTCTTTTGGGATGCTGTTTTCCATGCTTGTTTTTGGAAGGAACCATGGATCTGTCAGGTTGTTACATGACAACTGTGAGATGCTAAACAACTGAATTACCTCTGGCAAAATGTTTGGTGGGCTTGTATCACTGGCCTCTGATCTAGCATTTATTACAATACCAATCATAATTCTAATCCCATCAAGCAATGTACAGTTCTTCCCTCCTGACCATCCTCCATCCCTGTTTCCTTTCCCCTTCCTCCTCTGTCTGAGGGTCTTTAACAGTGTGATGATCACTCAGCCCATGGCTGTGTCCTTCAGAGGAAGGTGGCAGCTGGGTTTGTGTTTTACACCTTCACAGGTGTGCACTTATACACAACAGACCCTGTATTGTGCCCTCACAAACAGTGCATGCCTCACAAAGGTTTCCTGTTAGAATAAGTTGGTCTGTTTGACATGGAATGTGTGGAGAAGCATAGGAGGCCATACTTAAAATCAGATCTTCAGATGTTAATTTTAAAACACATTTTACAAGCGCAAAAAATTGCTCTGTGAATTAGTTATATAGTTTGCCAGTAATACTTAGGAGATTGTGTGATAGGAAAATATTTGAATTTATGATTTTTTGATCTGGAAATTTAAGAGATTAAAATTTTTGGAATAGCTGATCAATATAATGAATGTCTACATTATTAAAGATCCAGAGATGATGTTGAGAAATAACAACCCAAATGGGATCTTGTTGGGCCTAAAGAGGCCTGGGCATGAGGTCTGGTGGAACTTCCTGAGCCTGGCTAAAGTTTGGCTACCCGTCATTGGCCTGTAACCTCCACATGGGAGAGACTCAGCAAGGCCTGGTGTAAGACTGCCCCCTGCCTAGCTAACCACTAGCTTGGTGGAATATTATTGGCCCTTTCTCTTCATGTCAGCTTACCCCATCCTAAGATTCCTACCCCCTTCTCCATCCCTATATAAGTCTCTGCTTGATGCAATAAACTTAGTTCCTGCTCCTGACCAGGCCCCCGTCTTGTCTGATTGTCCTTGTGGTGGGCAAGGGCTGTGGAACCGGCAGACAGCACCCTCACCTTTCCTGGATCCTCCCCTCTGAGGGAGAAATTCCTGAGGGACGACCCCATAGGATCTCACACTGTTGTCTATTTGATGATTCCCCAGGTTAGATATGTAATCTTTTGGATTAGCTTTTCTGTCTGACTGAAAATGGGATCATGTACATAGATAACACAGGATGTGAGTTGGGTATCTCTAGATGACTCTGTGAGCAAGCTGCCTTCCCAGACGCCCTCTGGGTGGCCCTGCATGGACAGGTGAGGTACCATTTTAGTCTCACACCTGACATTCATTCTCTAGAAGACCTGCCTCCTCTTAACCAATCTGTAGTCCATTCAGTATTTCATATCTGGCCCAAGATAAAGACAGGAGACTGACACAATGGCACATTCTGCCTCCTGAGACATATTTACCTGGGTCTGTACTGTCACAGCTCTCATTTAATACTCAGTTTTGCAGAGGAGGCCCTGAAGCCTGGAAATTGTTACTGACACTTCACTCCAGACTTCTGGCCCCAGAACCCACACTCTTAACCTGAGTCGCCATGTTAAAACTGGGACTTGCATCCATCTGTGATGGGACAAGTGTGATCGCTGCCCAGACCAGGTGGGAATTGGGAAGATGCTCACCATCACTGGCTCACACTTTCCCAGACAACGTCGAGTTACTCCCTTGTGTAAAAGCCAGATGCTCCTGTGTAAACGCTGTAGCTTCTATTTGAGAAGAGTTTCCTCAACCCCCTAACCCTGTCCTCATAAGACACTTTACTTTCCAGCCTCCCAATTGTATAGGATTTTTTTAGAACTTTGGAGAAAGAGTACATGGGTGATTTAAAGCTTCAGTGTAACCTGTGTCTTGTCTCAGTCCACCAAAGGCCAAAGGATTTCTGGAAGGAAGTCACCATTTTCCTTTCCTGTAATTGTCTTCTCACGTAATCATGCCCTCATCTTCACAGAGTAACTTGAGTCCAAGTATTCTTGCAGAAGTTGGGGAAGTAGGGGCCCTGAAACTTTCTGTGTGCTGTGTGCTGTCTAGTATGGCAATTTGTACCACAGGAAGAGGTTTAAAATTAGAAATCCAATTCTTCAGAGACTAGCCACATGGCAAGGGTAAAGAGTCACAGGCATCTCCTAACACTCCCAGGATAACAAAAGCAGAGTCTACAGCTTTTTTTCTGGAAGTTCTATTCGGCAAGGCTCTTGCTCGGGATGCTGAGGACAAACCACGGATGGGTTTCTGCAGGATCTCCACTTAACTTATATGCTGGGAGGCCTATTGCTTCAGCAATGGTTCCAGTAACGTAAGCCCAGTTCCTGCCACCACAGCTGGGTTACCAGGGTAGCAAATTGACACTGTCCTCTGAGGCTGGATTTCCAGGTGTGCTGCCCTTTGGAATATATTCTTATTCTGCTTAAGGCTTTAAAGAATAGTCTAGTAAATAGCAGTGAGCCAATTTGGGTCCACTTGGAACTTTAGGGTAATACTGTTCTCACAGGCTAGGGGAACTGGACATGTCATTCAGCAGTGATTACCAGCCTGGGCTTTGGCACCCCTGAGTATTTCCAGGGATCTCCAGAGGGGTCACAAAATTCCCAAATCAAGTTTAATTCGAAGTCACTTTAATATTTTTAAGTGGTATATGGCACTTTAAGGACAGGGAGGAAAAGTCACAAAGTCTACCAACTCATGAAGGTGTCAGCTCAAAAGGCTGGGAATGACTGCATCGTTGGATCAACGCTCACAGTAAACATTTTGTAACAAAGGCATGTTGAATTTGGTGTCATTCATCACAGAGCAGAGGATTTTCACTTGTTTGCTCATGTGGTTTTCATTTGGGAAACATTTAAAAGTGGTATTTACTTTTTATTCCAACATGTCCACTGTGCATTTCCAAAACAGCAGGGCTTTTCAAAGGAATATATGAGGACTGTAAACACAAGATGCAGCTACAAATCCACACGCTGTACATTCACAGGTGGGGCTCAGCCTGGCTCCACTTCACTGCTGTAACTACTCGAGCATAATAAATACATCTGAGTTGAAAGGTCACTTAAAATGAGTCATAGTGATTGACAGTACAGTACTGCTCAAGTGCAAAAATAACCTCTGCTTAACTGTTCCCATTATTTTAAGGTGTGTTTTGTGGTGAAGTTATACATCCAGGGGTAGAATGTCTCCTCCCAGATGCAGGGGCAGGCAGAGCTGTCACGGGAAAGCCATCACCATTCACCACATTCCAGCTGATCCTGTCCGCTCAGGGTCAGTGAGCTCCCATTTCTAACAGCTCTCTCGTTCACCTTCGAAGTCTATCCACAATATGACTGCCCTTCCATAGGTCTCCCAGACAACCTCTGCTTTCCTTCCAGGAGCAAGCTCTATGTGGGGTCACCCAGACTCCTGTGTCTGTGGTGGTAAAAGGTATAGATAGCTATAGCCCAAAGTTAAAAGTTCCACTGTGTGACTACGGTTTGCGGGAGAAGAACGTACTAAGATTTATTTAAGTCATTTGACAGTCTTTCTTGTACTCAAAATTCCCATTTCTGGCTTCCTATTTATTACCTCAAAAACAGACTTAATATGTAATTTTTAAACACTGTGTCTCTCCCCAGGCACTTAAATCTTATCCTGCTCTTTGCAAACAGTACTTCTTACCTTAAGGAATGCTTAGGAACCCCGTGAGTTGTTTTATTCCATTGGCTGAGGGGAACCCATCCAATAGTGACAGGCTGTTGCAGTAGGATCTGTGCTGCAAAGCCTAGTCCATCAAGTCTTAGGATAATGACTTGGCTGAATTCTTTGAAACATGCTTTCGCTCTTGCTCATTCTCACAGCCCCTTGAGACAACTGTGTTTTAAAGCTCAACTTAGTGTGCAATAGTCAGTAACAGCTTTGCTGCTCCAAGAACTAACTTCACTATATACCATATGCATATAAAAATATATTTGCTAGAGATGTGCAAAGTTCAGTGAAACTTTGAACTTTTAAACAACAGAGAAGCATATGTTCTACTAACACCCATCTGGTTCCCTTTTAAATATGTCTTAAAATTTAAAATGCTTTCTTTAAGACAAATAAATCTATAGATACTCTTTTCACCTCGCTTTGGACTAAGAACCCAATATTTAGAATAAATAATCAGAAGAGGGAGATGATGTCATGGTTCACCTTGAGACCCATTCATTCGCCTGACTTGGTGTATGTGAGTTCTGCTTCCTGTCCTTACACCCTGGCAAAGGAGTTAGTGCAGACCTAACCAACCAAGAGCAGGAAGTCCTCACCCAACACTGTTCTGCATCTCTACATGACCGTGGAGGTTTCCCTTTTCCTGCCAACAAACAAGTACTGTAGCTTTTGTGTGTGTGTGTGTGTGTGTGTGTGTGTGTGTGTGTGTGTGTGTGTGTGTGTGTGTGTGTTTCACAGGAATGACTTTAGATAATTTGAAGCATACGCAGTGTGGTACTCCCCTTGGGGAGGTACGTCCAGGGTGAAGGCTTGGCCGGCTGTGTCCTAGCTGAGGTGCCTGGTGCCATGCAGGGTGTGAGATGATCAGGAGCCCTTCAGTGTTCTTCAGCAGTAGGCTGAGCCTGCTGCTCCCCACTCTCCTCTACACGTGAGGCAGCACTGGGGTAAGCAGGGCTGGATTGTG